TGGTTAAACTGGGCTTTTCTGGTGCTGCAGTTAAATTAGGGAGGATTCCTCCCATCTGTGTGAGATCTGATGTTGATATTGATGATTATTAATTGTTATTTCTGTTGGAGTTGCTTTCCATACCCTGTTTTGTAGCATTTTGATACTTCTTCCCAAAAAACCCAAGTGTTTTTTAATGTATAACCATCACAAAATGCCAATAATGAAGATTTTTTGTTACTTTAAGAGGTCATTTGTTTCCCAAACATGATGTTAATTCTTGATAACATTATTTACATGGAATTTTGCAATTTCTCTCCTGGCAGCCCTTGGCAGTTTGTTCCTTATGTGTTTGTTCCATATTTCTATCATGGATAGGGATAATTCCTTTTCTCTCATGTTTGTCCTTAGAAAAGCTCCCAGGTTCTCAGTTTCTTCTGAATTTGTGTTCTCCAGTGAAGGGAGGGGTTATTGGAAATATTTGCATTAAAAGTGAGCAGGTTTTAAGGGAAAAATGCTACCATTTGTGGCATAATTGAATTTATTTCATGAAAATTGAAATCTCAGCTCACCCAGTGCAGCTTTCCCCATTAACGACTCCTGGAAGTGCCTGGATCAGCACATTCCCAATTTCTTTAGCACAGGTGTGACTTCAAGACATGGAAATCTGGTCTGAACGTGTAAATTTGGGCCTTATTTGGAGAGATTTTGGCAACTGCTCACTCATTACCTCCACCTTGTCGTGTCCACACATCAGATCTGTGGTGAATATAAATTATTTAGGAATTGGAAGGCTGAATTTGGAGGGAATATGCATTCCCACTTCATTTCCAGGTTGTGTATAGGCACACACTCAATACATTTGTATTTGTGTAAAATGTCAAGTAAGATGTAGCAAAGAAACAAGAACTGAACAATTTCTTTTCTTTAGGTTGATGTATTCTAAATACCTGATTTTGTTGTTTTTACCAGCAGGAATGAGTGAGCCAATCAAAATAACAGAGAGATGTGGCTTCATGTTTTGAGATGAAAATGCTGAAATTACAGAGATGTTATGATTAATTTTCTGCTTGTATTGTTTACACTGGGACTGAGTGGTGCCCACACCGTGGTTGAAACTGCTTCAATTTAAAATATTCGAGATTTAAATTCCTGATCAGTAATTAAATTCATCCTCGATCAGTAAAAAAAAAAAAAAAAAACAAAATAATTAAAAGAACTGATTTTAGGACAAACAAATACAGCTCTGGTGAAGATTCCTGGGTTAGGAAGGCAAAGAAGGATTTCCTTCTGGAATGGGGATGGATTTGGCTGTGCCATGAGTTGAGCAGGGACCTGGAATTCCTCACCAGGAGCTGATGGGAACACAATGGGACCATCATTCCCAGGCACTCAGAATTCCAGGTGTAAAATCCATGAGTGGGACACTCCACCAGCACCGCCAGGAAAGGTCTTTCAAAGATTCTCCTCAGTTTTGTGCCATAAATGTCCCAAATTTGTGTTTCTGTTGCCGCTGTGAGAAATCCCAGTGATGGATGAGTGTGGGAGGGGTGGGCAGCCCCGGGTGTGGCTGTCGCTGCCCCTGGGCTGGCAGAGCAGGAAAAGGGGATTTGCTGCTCCTCTAACGGGGTTTGGTGTCCGTCCTTGCCCAGGTGGAGCCCGAGAAGCTGAAGACACTAACGGAGGGGCTGGAGGCGTTCAGCCGCGCCAGGAAAAGGAACAGGAAGTGAGTCCATCCTGCTTCCCCCAAATCCCACCCATTCCCTTCCCTGGGCCCTCCTGGGCCTTCATCCCTTGGCATTCCTCATGGTTTTTTGGAATCTGAGGTGTTCCCAGTGCA